ATTTATGTTAAAAATTAATTAAAATTGTTTAAAATTGCAGGCAAATTTGCCTGCAATTTTTTACCATTAAAGGAATACTTACCACTTTCGTTAATAATATTATTATCTATATCTGTTATATAATTATAATATAATGCATAAATAGATAGATATATTAAAGAAAGTGTACAATATTTTTGATCACCTAACCATTCTGTTGCTTCTTCAATTGGTTTAAAAAGAACAATTAATTTTTTTAATAAAATCCATTCATAATCAAAAAGAATTCGCGTTCTTAATTTTTCATAATATTTTTTAAATTTATTCTCTAGACATAAATTTAAAAGAACCCGTTTAATAAAATCTTTTAATACTTGTAATCTTTTCCAAGAAGCTAAAGATGATTCCTATCAGGTCTTGACATCATTAATAGTTCGCAAAATTTTTAATGGATGTTGATCAATTGATGTTAAATCAAATAAAATTGAATCATTTTATAGTTGTATATCATATCTAGATGCAATTTCTTTTTGAGTCTCTTCTAACCATTCATTTTGTTTTGGAGAATTAAAAAATTGAATTAATTCCTTAAATTGTTTGATATATAGTTTAATTTTTTCTAACTCTTTAATAACACAAAGCTGCAATATATGTGTACTGCATGGAATATGATTAACACTATACCATTCATGAATAGCTTTAATCATATTATTATCATTGTCAGTAATTGCTATATTTATTTTACTATCTAATCCAAGCAGTTGAAGTTTAGTTAAAATAGTTTGGCAGATATTATTACCATTATGAGGATAATTAATTGATGTAACACAAATTAATATATCATATAATTCCATATTTTCTGCATACCAATGATATGTAATTCTGATATAACCTGATTTTGCGTAATATATCCAAAGATCTGTAGTTATAGCTGCTATATCACAGGTATGAGTAATCATTTCTTTTATAGCTTGAAATGTAGCTGGATATTCATAACCAATATCCTTTTTGATCATTACATAACATGGTGGCTTAAATGCAGGATCAAGCTTATTAATCATACATAAAAATCCTTCTCCATTTGCTGAATTAAAAGATTGAAAATCTGTTACTAGCTAATTAGCCAAAACATTTTTTAATTCACGTTACTTAGATTCTTTATGTAGCATAACTTTTTATTTTATAATCTACTTTTAATTGTTTCTAAAAAGTAAAAATAATATATTAATTTTATATATATCTATCTGTAATAACAATGCGTATTGATAATGTTGTTTTACCAATTTTTCTTTTTCAAACTCTTTATGAACAGAATTTAAATGATGTTGTTGAGTGCTAGTTTGAATATTATACATGCAACTATAATTACACTCTTCTTCTATTCCATTTTTTAATATTTTATATCTGCAATAAGCACGTCTGTCAGTTTTGATTCCAAAATGCTTTCACACCCAACTTGTTTTATTATTTTCAAGTTCAACTCACTGAAGTTCTTGCTGATTAATATCTGAAGATAAATTAACAATATTATTTCTTTTAGTTAACTGGGTCAAAATAATATTAGTTTAGCGTTTATGTTTTTTATTCTGGTCTGGCATTTAAAAAGATATTTAAAAAAATTTGAATTTTTCATGTTAAAATTAAACGTGTTGCGATGATCATTCGATATTTAAAATTTAAATATTATAAATAAAAAATCTAATACTTTGAAATGCATTTTTATGACGAAAAAAATGAATAATACTACAACTATGACTATTTTATTTGAAAAGCTTCAATGTTAAAAAACCAGTTGCTATGTCTTAAGAATAAAAAATTTTCCTCCTTTTACGAATGTCATTGAACTTTAAAAGGAATTTTTTTTTCTTTTTTTTTAATAATGATATTATTTAGTTTGTTTATTGTTTATTTATATATCATATTATATTATAATGACATAATCGATCAAACATAATAATTGTTAATTGATAATTCATAGAAATTTAATTGATTAAAAATCAATTAAAGTTAGTCTAATTTTGATCGATAGTAATATTCTGTGATTGACAAATTGATTGAAACAATCAATCATTGATCTTACTTGATTCGATTAAAAGTCCTAGCTGCTATTTGATAGTCATTAAAAATTCCCTACTTAGGCAAAATAAATTGTTTCAAAAGTTTTATTTACCAATCCAAATTATAGAAAATTTTATATTTTCAAATGGAAAGCTAAATACTGCATATTTATAAAGATAGGCAATATCATAGTGCTAAATAATTGTTTGCTTTTTAAGTTTATGCTAACCATATTATTATCATTAGAAAAAGATATTGCGGATGTTTTAACTAGATTGCTACTGTTATGTGTTTATTTTGTGACTCTATTACTCATGTATTATAGTTTCTCTAAAATAATGTTAAAGGAATCCAAAGATTGCGTAGAACATATTGAATGATAGAACTGTATTTTTATGAGTATGTAAGTGCATGTATTGCATATATTATATTTTATATTAAACTTATACAAAATCTATTTTTCTTTTAGATATACTAGTAGTACTAAAATTTATCGCTGAACATGATGTCTATATAAATACATTTAGGCAAAGACAAAGAAAGAAATAAAAAAACGCATCATAATATAAATGCATCTCAGTCATTAACAATCTAATACTAACATAATCTAATAAATTACTAAGTGAAGAATTATCCTAACCCTCTATCAAATTTTTATAAACAATTAAATTCTCAAGAAACTTTTGTTGATTTAAATTTCTGTCTTCTAAATAATCAATTATTTGGATTAATTTTTTTTTTCAATTTTGTAATTAAAGAATCTTGTCATCTTTTTCTTGAATGTAATCATTTTCATGTTAAAAGCTCTAGAACGTTTAGCTTTCTTTGAACATCACTTTATGATGATAGCCAGAATCTTGAACCTATTATTAAGTTTTGAAGCAAAAATTTGTAAAAGTAAAATTAGATCAACTAAATAGAAAATCAAGCATTAATTCTTATCTTTATATTCTGTATCCATATGTCTCAAGAATAATCAAACTCATTAGGTTTACTGCGCTGATGTGATCATATGTCAGCAATGAGAAAATGAGTAGATTGTATTTTCACACCTTTAGATTTAGATAAAATGAAGAATTAAAGATTTATCATTAACAAAAATTAACAGGACGTCTCAGAAAATTCAGGTTGCTATGTTAAAAAATAATTTGGTATATCAGGAATTGCTAATGGAAATTTAGCAAGATTTGTGTGACTTTATACTCTAAATTTTAAAAATTAAGCGGAATCTTCAAATATTAATATAGTAACACCTCCATATAGTCACACAGTTGGGCACAAAAAAATGTATGCTTATATAGAGGTATGATTGTATATTGAATCCCTTTATGAATTAAATATTAAATTATTAAATTAATTAAAATAATAGTTATAAAATTATAGTAACTTAAACTTTGTATACGTTATCTATTTATCTAATGATGAAATTATTTCATTAGATTCATTTAAATAAAACAAATCTAATAGTTTTTATTTCATAAAAATCGTAGTTATATTGGCAAAGATACATCAATTTGAAAATTGTACAGCAATACAAAAGATATATTCACTGACCAATAAGTAGAAATGTTAAATTTTGTAAGTTGTTCGATTAGAGCTGGTAACAGATGATGTCATGGAGACTTTTCAGCCTTTTCTGTGACCATTTGTTCGGGTGTAGTTTATTCAGATTCTATTTCTTCTTCAAGTATGTTAGGACTAAAGCGTTGAGTCATAGTAGGTTTCAAAAGCTCTTCTCTTTGAGATTCACTTATTCTTGCTCTTTTGTTCTTTGAAATAGGATTTTTAGGATAAGGCCTAGATTTAGTATTTAAAAAGACTTCAAATTCTTCTTCTTTTTTGGTTTCATAATTATATTTATTGTCATAATATTGATTGGCTAAGAGAACATCTCTGAGTTCCTCAAATTGTGGGTTTCAGTTAAATCTTGATTATCGAGATTGAAGACATTCTCTACTGAAGTGACTTACTTTTTTACAATTAAAATATGATAGATTTGTTTGTTGTGGTTGTTAACTGCAAAATTAACATTATTAAAAGATCATCAAAATTGATCTACAAATTATTATTTGACTTAGTTGACAA